AACTCTAGACTATCCTAACTTATTTAGAACTTTGAGGCTTTGTTGTTGTTGTTATTGTCGTCGTCGACGACGACAACAGGCAAGAGTAGTTGGGAGAGCAAATTGACGGTACTGAACTGAAGAGCTTGGTAGTAGTATAGTACTGTATAGGTGTAGCAAAGGTTCTAAAAAAACAGCATGGGGCTGTTGCACCAATTGTACTGCCCAATTGGATCCATCCATTTTATTGGCTTCTATCTATAATATATAAAAAGAAAGGACCTGCGTGAGGAAAAGTCAATAAGATAAAATAAAGATATCCATGGCAAAAAGGTCAGCAAGACAGAGCAACAAGCAAAGTGGAGCAGTATGCCTGTCTGTGGATTGGATTTGGTCTGGCATATTATTATTATTATTAACTAACCCGTGCCTTCTTCTGTCTCATCTTTGTGTTATCTAATGCGGTGGCTTGGTATTATAGTATCACACGCCTCTGGCCCCATGTGTCTTAGACTAAACTACTGTATGTGCTCCCCCTACAGCACACATCTCCCTTGAACCCCACTCAAGACCATGCATGACCCATGTATATGCACACAGCACACACATAGGAGTATGTATATGCACACACATAGGAGTACTCCTGTAGTAGATTTTGGGGCACATGAGCCAGAGGAAAACAGCTGGTGTGTGTGTGTTTTAAAAAAGTATTTTATTCTTGCAGGCCTGAACTGGCAGCAAGGGGTATGCATGCCTTGATGCAGTGCAAAGACTGCAAATCTCTCGGGGCAAGGACAATGGCAATGGGATATGATGATGTGTAAAAGCAGCAGTGCAGGTAGGCCTGGTGGCCATGGACTTTCCGCCTATTCGTCGGTTGGATTTTGATAAGCTATGACTGATGTTGATTTATTATGAGAGAAAAATATTATATCAGGATTAATAAGCCTCGGCTCAAACAAGGAGCGATGTCACCTGGGAACAGACGAAGATCACACACAGAACAGGATCAGCTGAACTGAACCAATACCATCCATGAGTCCATGATCCATCCAGGCTCCAGCTCAGCTCTGCACCTGCACTCCTCTACTCCTCTCTCTCATGTGTTTGGGCTGTGGCTACCCGCTCCTGCGATACCGATATTCCATTTGCTTGCTGCTAGCTGCTAGCTGCTAGCTGCCTAGCTACTCTGTGTGCGTTGGACCGCTATGAAGATGCCTCTCATCCGATGTGATGTGAGAGCTCAGTGATGGGCTCTCCTCTCTCTCTCTCTCTCTCTCTCTCTCTTCTCATGATTCATGAACACATTTTTTACAGGGAAGCTTCCAATGGCTGGAGCTCAGGGATGCAGAGCGAGGCACGTGAATAGTGCAGGCCAGGCATCTATGGAAGCGGAAGGAGATCCAGCCATGGAAATGCCATGCACAACGGGACAGGAGGGATGATTGCCAAGTCGCCCCCTGTCTCGTCCCTGTCGCGCAGAGCCTTTGCCTTTGCGTGTGCGCGTGCACGCAGGGACGCCCAGAGGTCACACATGGACATGGATGGGTGACCCGGCTGCCCCGTCACGAGTACGCGCAGCTGTGTGCACTGGATAGCTGGCCTGGAACCGGAAGAAGAAGAACCCTGCTGCTCTGGGTAGGGGTAAGTACCACTCCGTTAACCGCGGTTTAAACTCTGCGGCACTGGCGGCCTCCTAAAAATGATATACACTTCTATATTTGCTTTGATTAAAAGAAAAACTTAAATTTAACCATCTCATAAAAAAAGTATCAATATTTATAATACAAAATAGTAATAGCATAGAAATATATTCTCTAACAATATTTATAATACAAACTCAACATTATTTGATTCGGCACCACTAGAATTGTATTCTTTTTAGAACCGAGGGAGTATGGAGTAGCACGTGGAATGAGCGGTTGTTCCGTTCAGTTTGAAGGTTCATGTCATCGTGTGTGCTCCATCGGTACCAAAAAAAAAACACATATCGTTCTAGTTTTGTGCTAAGTCAAAATAATTTTTGACTAAATTTATATAATTTTTAATATGTATGATAAATATCATTAGATTTATCATAGAATTATATTCGTAGTATATCTATCTGGTGTTGTAAATCTTTATATTTTCTTCTCTATAAATTTGGTTAAGTTTAAAGTAATTTAACTTACAACAAAGCTACCATTGCAATCTTTTTGGATAGAGGTAGTACCTTAGACTGTAATGGCAATAGTAAAATAAAAAAAAACGCCCTTCCAAGTCGCAACCCGACCTTTTTATTCATATTTTATTTTGTAATGATTATATATATGGATTTGTTATAGAACCCAAAAGTTAGAGCATAGTTGGTAGATCTCTTTTCTGCTTCTGTTATTTTTTGTGGAAAATGATTCTCTGAGAGAAGTATCTACGGCTAAAGGTGATTGCCTTGGATAAATCCCATGTAGGAAGTAACTATGTGTGAATCAAGTTAAGCTAGGGCCCTGTTTGTTTCGCTGAAATTTGGCTTATGCTGCTACTGCTGCTGATTTGTTGTGAGAGAAAAATATTGTTCATTTGCTGAAAAGTACTACTGAAGTAGTGCTGAAAAGTATTGCTGAAGTAGTTTTTTCAGATCTCAACCTCTTAGTTTACTTTAGAAAATTACTTCACGTAATCAATATATAGAATCATTTGTATATGAAATATTGTTTGGTGAAGCCTCTTTGGCTTGGCTGCTCTAAGAGGGTTATCAAACAAATCCTTATTTCATAGAAAGAGCTACTATATAGTACATAGAAAAAATATTCAAATGGAACCCAAATAGTGAAATACCCCCATATTAAAAAAAACGTGTTGTCTTAGCCCACTTTGTATCTTGACAATCATTTTGTTTACTCACTTATTCTTGTGCTCAACACTAAAACAAGTATTCTAGATGGTAGGTAATCCCCGTGCTTTATTTAAATACATACTCCTATTAACTAAGCATGTTATCAAAACTAATAATTTAGTAAATAAATGAAATAAAAACCTGTATAAATAAAGTTCCAGGACTAGGCCCCAATCCGAACGCATGCGTTTGCATCAGGACAAAAGGCTCCTACATATCCTGCAGTTTAAAATAAAAATAAAATCACGCTATATCTTTGACAAAATCTGTCACAATACCATAGTTTTGAGAAATGATTTCCTTTGCATACAACTTCACAGAAACCCACCTTCCTGCCGTTTCAAAAGCTCATTATGAATTATTTATATATATGTTTGTCACGAGTCAAGATACTTAGCTAGCTCACTGAATAATGACAGTCCGGATAACGTGACAATCTCAAGAATGTATTTTTTTTCTTTTCAAAAGGCCGGTTAAAGATACTTATTGAAAAACGAGGCATAAAAACCGGTAACTGCACGGTTCATTCAAATTAAAAACATTCAACTAGAAACGTACTTAGCAAAACATTCAACTAGAAAAGTACTACAAGTAAAAACGATTGCTTGAGCGTTGGCCTGTTCGCTTGAACTTATCAGTCAGCTTATCAGTCAGTATTTTTCTCTCACAACAAAACAGCTTCAGCCGACTTATCAGCCGGCTATAATACCAGCCGAACAGGCCCTTGCCAACGCGATCACGAGGACCCAACTTAATAATCACTGCAGAGCCCATATCCATGTAGTGGCTCTAACTTCTCACATTAGACAACAACCAACCACCATAGCATGATATTTAGGGCTCGTTTAGGGCAAGGATTATATACAACTCCGTCTCCTTATCGTAGCAACAGAGGAGCCGAAGTCGGCGAAGCCAGGCTTCATCGGCTCCTAGTAGGCTCCCAGTTCATCTAGAAGAAGAGAAAGAGAAACAACTTCTTCTATATAGTATAGCTTTTACAATAATATGTCAAAAGGAGCCGGAGCAAGAAAGACACTATTGTGTAATTCTAAAAAAAATGAGACCTTATTGGCATGGATGGTGAGCTCATGGAACATCTCGTGGCGTGCAATTCGTACTTCAAAAAACCGCACTTTATTTATGAACGTAGTCATCCTATAAGAAATATACCGTTTGTGTTTATGCACGATTGCCCGGCGCCTAGCTGTGGGCGAGTATTCGTACGCAGTATAGACTATGTGCCGCTATGTATTCTTAAGGCTAGCCCTACACTCTCCTACCATACCTACGGTGTATTGTTCATCATCTACCATGCATGCATGATGATATGTGTATGCTGTATACACCTCACTAATTAACTAATTAGGCCCACTCTGAGACATATCCGGCTTTTGTTTGGCTTTTTTTTTTTTAGTCGGAACATTGTTTTTCTCTCACAATATTTCAGCGAGAACAATGTTTTTCAACCAAGATTTAGCAAGCTGAACGGGGCCATAGTACTACTTTGTAGTAGATTACTAGCTCTGAGACAGAGCTTAGATTCCCCTAAGCTCTCCCTAATCTCTCTCTAAATAACACACACTAACTGGAAGAAACAACTTGACCATTCTCACTCAAAGTCCACTGGGGCCTCGTTTAGATGCTTTGAAGAATACAGATTTGATAAATATTGTCCAATTGCCAACTAGGCTCAAAAGATTCATCTCTCTAAACAATTAGTTATTTTTTTACCTACATTTAATACTATGCTAGAGAGAGAGAAGTAAGAAAACTTAGAATTTGCCAAGTCCACAGGCGTTGCTAAGAAGAATCTCACACTCCACCTTTCTCTCATGTCTCATCTACTAGAGAGAAGCAATCTCTCTCTCCATTCTTTCTCTCTGCACAAGCACGCGGAAGCATCTCTGTGTTGTGTGTGTGTCATCTCTCTCTCTCTCTCTCTCTCCATTCTTTCTCTCTGCACAAGCACGCGGAAGCATCTCTGTGTTGTGTGTGTGTCGATCTGAAATCTGAATCTCATGTTACTGCAAGCTGAGCATGTCCTGTCACAGAAGCTGCTGCCCCTGCCCGTGCACATGCTACCAGGCCGGCGCAGCTATTAACCCGCCCGAGCCATGCGCCCTTGCGCCCACCGCGCCCTGACGCCGCCATGCTCGGCGCACCCGGCCACAACGGCCACGACGCCGCGGAGCGCGCGCAGGAGCAGACCGCTGCCGCTGCCGCTGCCGCCGCGCGGCCCTCGTCGCCGAGAGGCCTCGTGCTCGCGAGCGCCGGCCTCCTCCACCGCGGCGACGTCGACGGCGCCCGGCGCGCGGCGGACGAGGTCCTGTCCACCGCCGACCCGCGAGGCGACGCGGCCGACCGACTCGCGCACCACTTCGCCCGCGCGCTCGCTCGCCGCGTCGACGAAGACAAGGCCGCCGCCGGGGACGTCGTCGCCGCGGCGCCCGCGCCCGCGGGAGGGGCACCGCCGCCGGCCCCCCGGGGGGCGCCGACGTCGACGGCGTACCTGGCGTACAACCAGATTGCGCCGTTCCTGCGGTTCGCGCACCTGACGGCCAACCAGGCGATCCTCGACGCCGCCGCCAGCGCCAGCGGCGGCGGCGGCGCGCGGCGGTTGCACATCGTCGACCTCGACGCCGCGCACGGCGTGCAGTGGCCGCCGCTGCTGCAGGCCATCGCCGACCGCGCGGACCCTGCCGTCGGCCCGCTCGAGGTCCGGATCACCGGCGCTGGGCCCGACCGCGACGTGCTCCTCCGCACGGGCGACCGTCTGCGCGCCTTCGCCGGCTCCCTCAACCTGCCCTTCCGTTTCCACCCGCTCCTCCTCCCCTGCACCGCGCAGCTCGCCGCCGACCCCGCCACGGGACTGGAGCTGCACCCGGACGAGACGCTGGCCGTCAACTGCGTGCTCTTCCTGCACAGGCTCCGCGGCGAGGGCGAGGTCGAGGTCGCCACGTTCCTGAAGTGGGTTAAGTCCATGAACCCCGCCGTGGTGACCATCGCTGAGAAGGAAGCCAGCAGCAGCATCGGCAGCGACGACTGCCCCCCGGACGACCTGCCGCGACGGGTGGCCGCGGCGATGGGCTACTACTCGGCGGTGTTCGACGCCCTGGAGGCGACGGTGCCGCCGGGCAGCGCTGACCGGCTCTTGGTGGAGAGCGAGGTCCTCGGCAGAGAGATCGACGCGGCGCTGGCGCTGGAGCCGGGCCGCGTCAGCGAACACACCTGGGGGTTCGAGGCGTGGGCCTCCGCCGCGCGTGCCGCCGGGCTCTCGCCTCGCCCGCTCAGCGCGTTCGCGGTGTCGCAGGCGCGGCTGCTGCTGCGGCTGCACTACCCGTCGGAGGGGTACGTCGCCGAGGAAGCCCGCGGCGCGTGCTTCCTCGGCTGGCAGACGCGGCCGCTCATGTCGGTCTCGTCTTGGCAATAGATCGATCGTCAAACGGCCAGTGCTGACTGTTGGACCTTGCCATGCGTGCGTGGTGTGCTCTTCTCCTTCTCCATTAATGGCTTCGATCTTGCTGGGCACACCACTGCATTGCCGGCCACAAGCAATGGGAATGAGCAGCTAGCTAGCTGCTTGACCACACCATTTTAATCGATGATGACCAAAATGGCGGCTAGCTGCTCAAACTTGCAAGGTTGCTGCTTTTGGTGTAGTTGAATGGACGAAGGAGGAAGAAGATGCGTTGGCGTGCGTGATGGACACGTTGCATGGAAACGCACCATTGGGAGATCTCTGCGAGGATCTTTGGCATAATTCAATTCTTCAACTTGGTAAGCCTTCCTTCTACCACTACCTACACTACCAATTCTTTTGCTTTTATTTTATTTTATTTGGCTATATACTATTTTTATTTATTACTGGTCTCTCTCTCTCACTACACACACACATATTTGGTGGAGTTGTTATGGTTTGCTGATCATTTTGATATGGCTATCTAATGTTGTCAATATTGTAATGGTAAAGGGATATGCTCATTTGCATGCTCCTGAGAAAATTAGGTCAGGTCGTAGATAAAGCTGATTCGTTGAATCCCAAATAATGAAGAGGATCTTGAAGTTCCTACACACCTCACAGTGGATTGGGTCCATCTTTTTTAAAGTTTATCCTGAAATTTCACTTGTTCTTCTTGTTGTTTGTTGCGGTTTTTTGTATTATATATATAACTAATCATGCTTTGGCCTCCACTAGACATAAACTAATGCACCATTTGGTTGGTCTTTTTATTTTACTCGGGGTAATGATCACTCTTGAGTGCTACGAAAGGCCAACTAGCGTGCATTCCCATTGCATACATGTAGGTGTTTTCGGACCACCGACGAGTAAATTTGTATTTGCGCGTCTGGCTCTGATGGTGTGCTCGGAGGACACAAGGGTTTATATTGGTTCGAGCGGAACGTCCCTACGTCCAGTTCGCTGGTACTCGTGTTACCGGCACTTGGTTTGCAGTAGGGATTACAAACAGGCGAGAGGAGAGGATCCCAAGTCTCTGGTGGAAGGAGTGAACGGGTGTTGAGAGCTCGCTTGCCTCTCAGCCGTGTGCTCGTGTCGTGCTCTTGTGTTCAGATTTCCCTCCATGGGGTGCTCTGCTTCCCCTTTTATAGACGAAGGAAAAGCGTGGGTTACAGAGGAGGAAAAGTAGAAGAACGAGAGGGAGAAGAAGGCTTCTAGGGTTGCCGAGTTCTTCTCCTCCTTCATGCGGGTCCCGCTGATCCTGTAGATGTCAACAGGGACGGCTCCATCTCGCGGCCATGTTCGTCACTGGAGCCATGCGCAGGCGTCATCTGCAGGTCATGGCGTTCCACTCCGTCCCAGTAGACGTCATGGTGAACTGACGCGCCTGTCAGCGTCCGTACGAGGATTAGGCAGAACAGCACCGGCACACTCGACACTGTTCTTGATGTGAATCCCCATGTATGGCCCGTCATGGCCACGGGTTACATCGAGGCGTGCCAGCCTCTTCCCCGGGATCAGAGTTTTGACCCAGGGCCATACGCTTGGACCTGGAGTGGTTGGCGACGGTATGGGTCCCCATCGGATGAGACGGAACCCACATCCTTGAGGTCGGGCGGGGCGGAGCCCGTGACCTTGGGCGAGACGGAACCCGCGTCCTTGGGGTCGGGCGAGACGGAGCCCGTGTCCTTGGGGTCGGGCGAGATGGAGCCCGCGGCCTCGAGGTCGGGCGAGACGGAGCCCAAGGCCTTGAGGTCGGGCGAGACGGAGCCCGTGGCCTTGGGGTCGGGTGAGACCTTTTAATACGTCTCGAGCCATCCGAGGAAGTCAGCGTGGACACTAACTTTCTTGTTTTGGGTATCCCTAATATCGATACCCGACAATACATATAGGAAAAATACAAATTACTCTCTTGCATGTAGCTAATACTATATGAAGCTAGGCTACACAGTTACAGTATTTATGTTGAGATGTATGGTCATCTAGCTAGTATATATTACTATTATGTTCTTGCATAGAGAGGCACAGTAAAAAAATACTCATCTGTCTCCCTTCCTGCCTGAGGAGGAGGAGAACGATGTGGTTCTTGTTTTCTGCCTCATGTCCCAGATATGCTGGCAAGCTGTCCTGTCCTTTGGAGAGCACATCACACACGCACAGAAATGGCATGCATGATCCCATACACCAGTGACCAGTGCTGCATGCCCTAATTCCTGCTCACTGTCCCCTCAAGCAAAATCATGGGACTTCTCAAAACCAGGCCGGCACCCCTTTTTGGTGGCCAGCATGCAATCCTGAATCTTTCTCTTGTTGAGTTGCCTCCTCGTCCTCTTCCTCTCTCAACAAAGATCATTCTCTTTTGGATGGACCCATTAACTCGCCTAACTTTTCCTCTGTGTGTGTATATATATACATATATATCTTGACTTGCATTGGAATCTTTGCGTGCATGCCGTGTTCATTGGCACCTAGCTCACTCAAAGAGGGCCATGCATGCATAAAATGCAGCACTAGCTAATAGCTGTACTTTGATACTACTGAATTAGTAGCTGTCTGGCCATTTGGCTTTCATGCTTTGATAGAATATAGAAGACGATCTTGCTAGAATGCTAGCTAACGGCTCCATCATTCTTGTTGCATCACGGCCACTGCATTATTTGGTTGGATGAAAAGGGAGAGCAAAAAGGCAACAATCATATTGTCTCTCTTATGCTTTTGAATGTTATTTATAGTTCGAACTATAACCCAATTGCATCCTTTCTTTTTCTTTCAAACGAAAGAGAGTAATGGAGTTTGCTCTAGGTGGCAAATTACACTCATGTTACTTAATTAGAACATTGGAACTTTCCTTTATTAATTCATGTTAGATATTTTGTAGATGTTTCAAGCAACATTTCTTCACCCGAATCAGTTCTTGCCAGCAAAATTTAAAGTTCCTGGAATAGAAGTTCCAAATTTTATCAGAATTCCAAGATCGGGTCATGTTACATTCTTCTTCATGATAATGAAATAGAAAATATGGAAATGCCTGGAACAATCTCAGTTTATATTGTTGTCTTCCATCAGTATCACTTCAGTTGGTTTAAAGGCATCACTAGCTTAATTAGTTTAATAGAAATTGATTACTAGCTAGTAGCTAGATATCATATATAATATGAGAAAGACTGGGGAGATGATTCTAGCTGGTTGCTATGATTCTGGTCTCACCTATTAATTTCTTTTTCATGATTTTTTTTCATTTCTTTTGTAGTGCCCCAGCAGGCCAGCACTAGTAGGTGACATTGATATATTCAGTGCACTTTCTGGATTGCGAGATTTTCGCTTATGAGTTACTGCATGCTTTGACTTTTTAGGATGTACTTTAGGATTTCATTATGTTTGCTGTGGTTCTTTTTCATGTACTTCATATATAAGATTCAGTAGGCCTTTTCATATCGAGCTTATTAACTTGAATTTCTCCAAGCAAAACAAGTCAACAATGTTGTTCGCTTTAAAGGTTATATATATAAGTAATAATACAGAACCATATATATATATATATATATGTCCCTATCATTAGTAAGTCATGAGGCATGCAGATCTTGTTGGTTTGTATACTTTATTACTTGATTGTGTATTATATTTTGAAAACATATACCTAGTATAGCTATACATGTATTTAAACCAAAGGGTATGTCATGAGAAAATGACGGGAGAAAACGAAAGCAGCATACATACAGTTAGCACAGTACTTATTAGCTTGCTAGTTTCCCTAGCTAGCTAGCTATTCAGTTTTGGCGTAATGCATGTTCAGATGTAATATCACATCAGCGGCGGCTCCAGCTAAGCCTAAATGTGTAGCTTAGCTCGTTCTGTCGGCATCTGTGTATCGATCATGCAGGCAGGATTGTTTATTACAGAGCAAACAGTACGTGCAATGCATATATACTGATGTATATTCACCGTACCGTAGTACCGTGCCTCGTGTCTTGCATTGTTGCTTGCTCGTAGACTCCAACAGTAGACTATATCCACAGCCATCTAGGGTTTGGAATTTGGTTATTATTGACTCAAACTGTTGATCTTTTTCTGCTGTTCGGTTTTCTGAATTATGGTAATTTACTACATACTTAAACTGATCTTTATGCATTTACTAATTAGCTACTAGTCATTCTTCATATATGATCTGTCAAGATATATAGCCAGTCAAAATTAAAGCATGATTATCTTTGGTACTCATCCATGCAATCTATAGCTTCATTTTCTATACTACTCCTTGATAAGCTAGCTAGTCTATTGACTTCTATTCCTGATTGATGATCTAATTTTTGGATGCAATGCCAATGCCGCAATTTCTGCATGCAGGGGCCGGCCGGGCACACAGCCGCATGACGGCATGACTGCGTTCATTCGCGGGTGAACAACAGCGGGGTGTTCTGCATCGGAACCGATGGGATACAAGAATGCATGCGATTATACTGTTGTGCTTGCACCCCCAAATTAAAAGAGCTAGCCCACAGCCCACGAGACAAGAAGGCAACAGAGGCTTCTGGTAGCTAGCTATTAGCAGGCTGCTTCATGCATGCTTTGGCACCGCGTTTCTGATCTTCCTATTGATTTATTGGCATCATGTCATTGTGCATATTTGTTGTTGCCGTAAGCGACATGCGCAACGGCTTGAGCGTATATTATTTGCTTCAAATATCGCCATGCAAAAATAGCATACTAGCTAGCTAAATAAATTCTTGTCCTCAAGTGGGGTGTTAACTGACAAATAGTATAGTATCCGTGCTAATACCGTGCTAACGCCACTGTCGGATACCACAAGATGGGGTACCCTAAGTAAGAACAAAAAATGTTGCTTAAACCTCGTAAAAATCAAAGCCAAAAGACTACCGCCAGGTCTCTGCAGAATTCTCCGATTCGCTCGAGGCCTTGCGCCGAGGCCTCATACGAAAGGCCAAAAGCACCCCGCCGAGGCCCTCTCGCCGAGG